ATGGGAGGTAGCAGAGGCGTTGGATGGAGGAGGAGATAAACTATTGCTTCGTCTCCTCTTTCTCTTCTTCTTGCCGTTGTCAGGTTTGCTGTTTCTCTTTGCTGTTTGATTATTATTGCCGGTGCCACCATGGACTCTTGTGTGGCCATTAAGCCCTTGTCTTGTAGGGAAAGTCTGAAGACAAGCCAACAGCATTCAGGTCAGAAAACATAACATCCTACAAAAGAACTTATTATGTACAGAAAATATTACCAGTGCCTTAAGGCAGGAGATCACCTTTTCTGCAAATTCTTCAAGTATATTCAAAAGGTTTAGGATATGGACTATAATATCTTTACAGTACAGAAGAATAAATCTTATATCATGGTAGAGTTATACATGTCATAAAAATATAAAAGAGGAATAAATGAAGGCTTCACATTGTGCTAATGCTTCTTTTTGACACATTCCAAATCTTATACCCTTACCCCATAAATACAAATAAAACTAGAAAGGCCGACATTTGCTTGGGAGCAAATACAGCATATTTCAGTCCATCTCCCTCCCACGCAAAAGTGGACTATTCCAAACTTACCACAGTGCAAAACTGGCAAAGGTTCTCAAATAAATGAATTAAATAGTAGCTATATATGAGAACAAAGATGCAACAACAAGTAGAGTCGATTCCGCGTCACCGAGTGGGTTTTTTCTCCATGTTTCTAATACGTTTGAATTATTTAGAAGAAAAGAATACCTTAGTTCTAAATTTTTCAAAAATTTGAAAATGAAAATTTGAATATATTTGAATTCATTTATATATTTCTGAAACATTTTGAAAGTGACTGTTCAAAGATCTCTTTATTTAGAATAAATTTGAACTACCCATTTGTTTCTTTCACTATTCGAAATATTTAGAACTATTTCAAACAAATGAAAAATGGTAGATGTGGGTAATTGCCCCCATAAAAGTAGGTGCTAATCCTACTCTTCTGTATTCTTCTGTATATTTTTAGATTTCACTGCTGGACACTGGTGGCTCTTTTGTTGTAAGGCATCAATGCCTGACACCCAGGCAGTCTACCCTGTACTTCACAGGGATGTGTGAATTACTTCCTTCCCATCCCACTGACCTATTTACAAAATGTTAGAAATAATTCGAAATAATGGTAAAAAATGGTAGAGTGCTGTTAGAAATATTTAGAAACTATTGGAAATGTCATAATCCTACAT